AATAAAATAAAATAAAATAAAATAAAATAAAATAAAATAAAATAAAATAAACTTCAGGGGCACCTGGGTGGCTCAGTCGGTTAAGCATCCGACTTTGGCTCAGGTCATGACCTCCAGTCCATAGGTTTGAGGCCATGTCAGGCTCTGTGCTGACAGCTCAGAGTCTGGAGCCTGCTTCAGATTCTGTGTCTCCCTCTCTCTTTGCCCCTCCCCAACTCGTGCTCTGTCTTCCTCTCAAAAATAAATAAACATTAAAAAAATTGTTTAATAAACTTCAGCCCCACTACCATTCAAATTATGCTAAATTCTGAACTTCTGAATCTAAACTTCTGCTCTAGTTTAAATAAAAGACAATTTGGGGGCACATGGCTGGCTCAGTTGGTGGAGTATATTAACTCTTGATCTTAAGGTTGTGAGTTCGCCACGTATTGGATGTAGAGATTACTTTAAAAAAAAAGACAATTTTATTTTCTTTAAGAACATCCTGTGACACCACAACTGTACAGAAAAAGTGGGCACAATTGTCTAGATAAGACTCATTTGGTATCAGTAGGGTAAATTTTATAAAACTAGGAATCTCAAGGATACTAAACATCCTTCTGCCCTTTTGTTTACATGAATTCACCTAACAAATGCTTTTCCTTTATCATAACAATAGACATCAGCTCAGGCCTAGGAAACATTTGGCTAATTTTGACTCAGTCAAAATGGAAGGAAACCTGGATACCAGCTCCAGACTGTCCTGTTACATCATTAAGGTGAACTTAACAGTGAATGTGAGCACTCTGCCATCTGCTCTGGAAGGCCTCACTTTTGGCATTAGCCCTATAGAGCTGGGGAGCAGGAATGGCTCTTCCTGTCAGGGCTGGCTTCATGAGCATGTGACCTATGCAGTCAGCCGGGCCCCTGCTTGGCTTAAGATTTGCTGTCACCTCCTAAAATTCTTAAATGATTTTTGAACAAGAGATCCTACATTTCCATTTTGTACTAGGCCCCACAAACTGTGTAGCTGGTCCTGCTTCCAATAGATGGCTAAATATGGACACCTGCATTTCAGGGAATGTGAAAGAAAATTCTTGCACAACGAATTTTTTTTGTCTAAACCTACATATCCCACAGAGGAAAATGTAGGGCAGGATCCTGTAGACCAGATTTTGTTTTGTCTTGCCTACAAAGAATGTGAATTAGAGGTAGATGCTTAACTCCTCTGAGCCTCTTTGTTCTCAGCTGCCAGATGGGTTGATAATATTTATTCTCTCTCAGGGGGGTGTTGTGAGGCTCAAAGGAGGCAATGTAGGTGAAAGCATGCACTTAGTAAACTGTGAAGCTTTTATAGAAATACAGAGCTTTTCCTATGTGAGAATAGATCAAGCAGATGCCACAGGAAGGGGAAGATTCCAGGAGGTCACCTGTGGACCTCAGAGCTGGCCTCATCACTGTTCTCTTACTGTTCCTTAAAGCAATCTCACACTGCCACCTAAGCAATTTCAAAAAACAAAGTTATGCTCATGTCAATGTTCTGCTTAAATCTCTTCAAAGGATCCTTTCTGCTCTTAGGATAGGGTAGGGATCTTGTAACAGTGACTTTGAGCCCTGAATTACAGGTCTCTTATATGCTAAAAAGGACCCCAAATAAAGAATAACCTGAGTAGTGGTTTGTGAAAGTGACCCAAGAAGGGCCTGGGTCACAGATGTTTCTCTCTAAAACAAGTGGACGGTTCAAGCACATTGTTTACCTTGCCTTTGAGACCTAAGACTGAGTATGTAGAAGGAAGGAACCAGGTCTTCTCCTCCTCCTCTTCCTCCTCCTCCTCCTCCTCCTCCCCCCCCCTCCTCCTCCTCCTCCTCCTCCTCCTTCTTCTTCTTCTTCTTCTTCTTCTTCTTCTTATATGACCTAGAACAATCCCTGGTGTGGAGTGGATATAAGAGGAATTAAACACTATACTTGGAGACAAGAAGCTTGGGGTCATATCTTCCCCTGCCACCCACTAGGGCTGTGACCTTGAGCATGTCAGTGAGCCTTTATTTCTTCTCATAGTTGTTGTGAGGATTAAATAAGGCATGGCATTGAAGTGTCTGCTCCAGTGCCTGGCATAAGGTAAGAAGCCAGTATGTGGTAGGTGTTGTTCAATGAATTATAGGATCTAGAGTTGAATGTGTCAATAGCAGCTAGCTTACCTTACTAAAACAGTTTGTATTTCTGGAAGCCTTATATTGTATAGGGAATCATCATTTCATCTACAAATAATACACAAATGGACTGTAATATAGTCAAGATTATTATTACTAATTTCTTTAATGACTAGACTTGGAACTTCTAAAGGTAACTCCATTTTGGATTCTGATTTTGGTTGCTCACTCTTACTCATGGATAGTTTTCTAATGAATGTTTACAAATAATAACTGTAAATCACCTACTTTAAATTCCCCCCCAAAAAATAAAAAAAATAAAAAATAAGAAAACTCAAAACCTCCTTTTTAAACTTACCCTTTCATATCTTAGTTCAATTCCCTTTAATGTCACACCTTTAGTCTCTCAGGAGATTATAGGGCTATTTTGTAATGGTTCATTTTGTTTTCGAACAATTCCTAAATAAATGTGGAACATTGCCTTATGTTTCTGAACATGGTCACTTGGGGTCTTCTTCTAGAGAACACCCAGTGATCTCAGAGGAGATCATTTTTTTTCCAGAATCCCTCATGGTGGCCCTATCTAGCCATTTTGGAGACATGAACCCTTTAATCTATTTAAAGCAATTGCTACTCTCCCCAGGAAAATGCACGTAAAATTTTGCACACCCAAAGAGTTTATGAGCCCCATGAAGTCTACCCATGGTAGTCTTTAAGATGAGTGGTCTCAGTTTGAATCTCTACCCTAAGATATTAATTACTAGTAAAAGCTTACTGCATACCCCTCCAACCTCTCCATCTTCCAGATGTGTATGTATTTTAACAAGAAGAAACTTGGTCCAACTGAAGGGTCTCTGGGCTGGTGGAATTTGAATTTTAGGCTATAGCAACAAGTATAAGTACAGACATTTGGGGGCAAGGGTAAGCCATTACTTATTATTTACTTTGAATAGTTTTTTTGAAGTTTTTTTTAAGTTTTCAAACACAATTATGGCTCCATACCAACATACCCCCAAATCCCCATATCCAGGATTTAATAGTTAAACAAAGTTTGTAAACCAGGATCGTAAACATAAAAACAGATTGCCCAAAGGTTAACACACTGCTGTTTTACAGGATGAAAACTCCTATTATATCAGTGAAGTGAGAGCCTATTTGACAGTCTCAAATCCAGGTAAGTAGTCAGAGAAGGCTATTCCACCAGCTCTGGTGCTGTGCTTCTAGTTCACTCATTTTTCAGTCCATTGAGTTTACTAATATTTGATGCTGCTTTGGAGAAATAGACTAAAGCAATACCCAGGAGAACTTACTACATCTTTGCTTCAGTTTGCTCATCTGCTCACGAAGGAGGTTGGACTAAATTATGTCAGATATCATTAAAGCAGAGATCATTAAATCAACAATAAAGAGTTTAGTGACTTTTGGACAGACTTGCTATTGATGGTGCAGTTTTTTCTATACTCTTGAAATTATGCATTTATTCTACAAAAATGTATTAGTGCCAGCTGGGTGCCAAGCCCTCTAATAGGCAGTAGAAATCCACTTATCCAAACATATAGTCCCTGCTGTCATGGAACTTACATTCTAGAAGTGAGGAAAGGAACATAAAAAGATCATTAAATTATAATAGTTAAGTAGTATTAAGTTCTATGAGCAAACACAAGCAGGTCCTTGTGGAGCGGACTGGAAAGATATTTTAAGTGAGACCTCTAAGAAGGAAGGCCTCTCTGAAGAGGTGAGGTTTGAGCAGAGAGATACCCCATCTGGGGGCATCTGGGCCTGGGGAAGCTTTTTTCCGGTGGCGGGAACAACAGATACACAAGTCCTAAGGAATGAAGTTGCTCATGTGTTCAGGGGTCAGCAAGAGAGTGAGCAAAGCAGCAGAGAAGATCTGTGGGGCATCCAGGCCAGAGCATGTAGGTCTTGTGGGTAGGTCAAGGTAAGGACTTTGAATTTTAGTCTAAAGTGTGAAAGGATGTCATTGGAGGGTTTGGTATAGAAAAATGATATATCATGTTTATATTTATAAAGATTCAGTCCAGTTGCTACATAGAGAATTGCCCTCAGTGGGGCCATTCGAGAGAACTCCTACAGTGTTCGTGTCTAGAAAGGTAATGCTCCCAGTCAAGTTGGGGGAATTGCTCAGAGGGATCAGACATTTCTCTGGAAAGCCCAGACTTAGATAACAAACCACTGTTGAGCACCTCTTAGGTGCCAGGTACTGTACAAACAGTTTTCATGTCTGTTTTCTCTTTTTGAAACTTCTATCTTTTGACTGGCTTAAACTTATCTTATTAAGGATAAGTTCTTACTAAAGAAACTTGCCAGGAAATGAAAATGTGGAGAAATGTCTATCTAGAATAGTAGATATATGATACTGATATTGTTCAAGAGGATGTTGTCAATGATTATTGGTTAAAAGTAAGATGTCATAGTTGACAACTCACTTTCACATAGTAACTCACGTAGACAAGTAAACTCATATAGGCTGGGGAATAAATATTATGAATGCTAACATAAATTAGCTAATGTTATCACTAGGCATGGACCAAATTTTAGCCAGGAATAAGGTAGTGATGTCTCAAGAGGCAAGGGAAGGATAAGTCAGACCAGAAGCTAAGTTAGAAGCTGAGAAAGGGGATAAAAGAATTCTAGGTCCCAATAATCCAGGCTCAGCAGTAGTAGCAGGAGCTATAGTAGTCACAAGAATGACAATTTGCACATCAGTGGTGATGGTGATGGTATTAGTAACAGTAGTCAGTTGTACTTACAGTGGTAGTGACTGTTGTAATGTTATTGGGAGTGATAGCAGCAGCAGTAGTAGTGGTCGTAGACAACTACCCTGGGGTATAACACATGGTATAGTAGTACACATGGATAATTCAGTACATCATGTAGGACATTTGCATGTGCCAATGAAGAGTCTACAGTAAATAGTACAGTAATGGCAGGAGACAGCAATCGGGTAGTGGTTAAGATAAAAAGCTCTAGAGGGGTACCTGGGTGGCTCAGTGAGTTGAGCATCTGACTGTTGATTTGGGTTCAGATCATGGTCCCAGGGTCGTGGGATCAAGCCCCACATCAGGCTCCGCACTGGGCATGGAATCTGCTTAAGATTCTCTCTATCCCTGTGCCCCTCTCCCCTGCTCATGCTCTCTCTCCCTCTCTCTTAAAAAAAAAAAAAGATAGCAAGCTCTACAGATTGCTTGAGTCCAAATTCCACTTACTAATTGTAGAATCTTAGGCAAATGTTTTCAATTCTCCAACTCTCCATTTCCTTGTCTGTAAAATGGAGAAAGTAGAACCAATCTCAAATGGTTGTTAAGAGAATTAAACAGGAAAGTACACGTAGAGTACCTGCACAGCACCCGGCACATAGCAAGCAGACCCTTAATGTGGGATGTTACCTTAGGCACAGGCAACACATCCAGAGACAGAAAAGGAGGGAGACTTTCAAGCTCCCTCATTAATAGCCCATGGGTATTCCTTGCAGGCACACTTTGGTGAATTCACTAAGGTCCATAGTCTGGTCCTCAATCATGAGAGCTGTCAGCACCCCCTTATGTATTGTCTGTTTCTTCAAGGAGGCTGATGTTAAACTAAGGTCATGAAATTGATGCATAAAATCAGAATGCAAATTTGTGCATTTTTCATGCAACTGTTTCTTACGCCCGTCATGCCAAGAGGACTAGATAGTTGGGTCCTCTGGCCAGTGAACTTTCTCCCATTCAAGAAGCCAAAGTATAATCAGAAGGGTGTTTGATGAATGTAAAATTAGAGCAAATGGAGTTAATTATATGATTAAAATGTTTAGCCCCATCCACCTTGAAGCGGGCGTACCTGTCAGGAAACAAACAGGGCCAGTCCTTAAGCAGAACATTCTCTCCCCAGCAGCACTTAAATGGGCAGAGGTGGGCCTCTCCCTTCTCTGTTTCCATGTGGATGGATGTAACAACCCTTCCTAATGATGGGATTAGCCTGTCCTCTTGCTGTATTAATATAATCTAGTAATATGTAAATGCTCCACTTGGAGACTTTGGATGTCTATTCTGATTCATTAAGGGTTCATGTGATTGTCACAGAGAGAAATCTTGCTTCTCTTGTTTCTGAAGTTTTTCTGGGCACTTCTCTGTAGTCCCCAAACACTGACAATAGTCCCCATCACTGCCCCCAATGACTTAAAACAACTGAAGAAAAAGTCCTAAAAGTTCTCATTTCAATGTTGTCACATTCTAATTCATGTGACTTTGCCCCCACATGCTATAGAATACAGGAAAAAGTCCCCAAAGAGCAGAAGAGTGGTTTTTCATGAGGACAGGGCAGAACCCCTGAAAGCCATATGTAAATGAAGGCCATTTAACTATACATGGGCCACCCAGTAACCGCTGGAACTCATTGTATATATGCCAAGATTCTGATGTGTCTGTAATTCATCTTTGTGTTTTCAGAGAAAATTTACCAAGGAATGAAAAGTGCTATGGTGATGTTTGAGACTGTGGTTGGGCATTCCTTCAAGTGTGTGAGTGAGCAGAGCATCCAGCTGTCAACCCAGCTTCAACTGAAAACAATGAATGTCCAATTTCAAGCCTTTGATTTTGAAGACGACCAATTTGGAAATGGTAAGTTAAATCTTCAGCATGTCACAAACATAAACTTCAGAGACCCAGGGATAGTATCAAGTTGTTTTTTGTCTGTGCAGTTGTCAAAGGGACAAGAATCACATGAGCTTCCTAGAACAGTATGATTCTATAAAGCTTTTAGGGCCAAGTTCCCCTCCTGCCATTCCTCTGAGTCAACCAACCTCAAAATCAGACACCTTAACCCACCCTTGTCCTCCCACAGCAGGATATGTTCTCTTTATATGACTAAAACATGTATTCTGACTCCTCCAACACACACACACACACACACACACACACACACACACACACTCACTGACTGAATCAAAAAGTCAGAAAATACCACCTACAACTTCCTCTTTACAAGCTATTGAGTACTAGTTAACTCAGGTATTTTGAGAGACTTTAAAGATCCTGAGTATTAGTAATATCTAAAATTCAAGATTTCAGAATAGATTCTTTCCCACTTGCAGAGGGAAAAGAGAAAGATGGAATATTTCCAGATAGAAATATACTCTGTTGGGCACCCTGTTTTCAATTATGAACTCAGTTCTCCTGACTAGAGCTTCCTTGTAGCTGGTCTTAGTTCCCATTCAACTTCTGCTTTGAGTTTTAACCACCACAGAGGGAAGCAGGTCCTAGGAAGAAGGCCAGGGACAGACCAGGCTGACTTTCTGAAAAAGTCCTTTTTTCCCCGCTGGGAAAATGGGTTACAAGGATTTCTACATATGTGCAGGAATTGAATTTCAGTTTCTAAAACATTCCTTTCATAATAACTAATGACGTTATGACTACCTCTCAATTTTCATAAACAGATTTAGCTGGAAGATTAGCTGTAACTTAAATTTCTGTAATGTGAATCCAACTTCTCTTTGAGTTCCATTATAAAATTGAAGATGTGCCTACAAAAAATTTCTGACATACTTGCTGGGAAGCATTGAGCAGAAGAAGGAATAAAGTGTGGCTTGCCTCAGATCCCCTAATTTCTGTAGGTTTTGTCTGAGTCTTAAAATCTCTGCCTCCATTTTGGACCTTTACCACAGCACCAAGATAAAAATAGTAATATTTCTTAGTAGGTTGGCCCCACTCTGTCATCTTATCTGAAAACTTCCAATCTGGGGAAACTTAAAAATTCATAATGAGGATTTGAAAAGCCTCTGTTATTAATCATGTGACCTTAAATGAGGTACGCATTTGCTCTTCCTCTGGCTCAGAACCTCTGTGAAGCAGGAAGTGAGCAGGTGTATGAAACCTGGTAGTGGCAGAGATGAGAAATAACACCTTTCAGCAACATACACCTGATTTCTATTAGCAGTGCCCAAAGGGAGATGTAGAAAACTATCTTTTCATTTTCCCCCTCCTTCCCTCACCCTCTCACCCAATTCTCAGCCTCCCACATTCTCAACCCATTTTAGGGAACTAAAATCCCAGAGCCTGAAAATGATTTCTCCAGTCCCAGACTGTCCGGCAGCCACTGTAAGAAGCAGCGTTTGAATAGAAAACTTTGGCCATGCAATTTGACACAGGTCCCTGTTTCCAGAGTTGGGAAACATGACCCCAGAACTTACTGTGGCTTACAGTTCTGATCCTGACTCTCTAGACCAAACCAACATTTCCCAATGTTGGATCTGCCTCCCGGCTGCATCAGAATCCCCTGGACCCCACCTCCAACCCATCAAAACTAATTTCCAGGATGTGGGGACTGGGTATCTGCAGTTTAATTTAGTCCTTAAGTGATCACAAGCACTGCACATTTCAGATCATTGTGCTGACCCTATCTTCCTCGTTTTCACCTGTGTGTCTGAGGCAGCAGGTGGGAAGCCCAGCAGCTCTGTCTCTCTCTGGGTTTCCTTCTCTGTCAGGCTGAGGCAGGCAGGGGCAGTATCACTTCCCAGCATTGTGGCCAGCCTGTAACACCTGTTACTCTGACTTCAATTGCAGCGGATGAATGCTTCAGTGACAGAAACAGGAGAGAAATCCCTGTGGCTGTGGGCCTGAGTATCACAGGACTGCTTGTCGTTTTGCTAACAGCATGCCTGGTGGCCAGAAAGAGGCCCAGTAGAGGATATGAACGCGTGTAAAGCCCCACCTTCTTCAAAGTGTGCAAGGTTAAGGCCTTGGGAATTCTGGCTTCATATTCAGCCTGAAGTGAAGGAATCAGTTCTTCCAGTAGCCTATCCCACCCTCCCAATCTTATTAGGAAACCCAACTTTCCCCCAGGGGCCATCTGAAGGCTAATTAAAATGTAGCCACCACTTTCTCCTGTTGGCATAGGGAGGCTGTGCCATATGGGCTTGAATTCCATCTTCCACACCTGGTAATAGAGGGCTGGCTTTGAGAATTAGGGATAAGAAGCAGGGACATGCTTGGGAGAGGGAGAGAGCAAATACCCAAAGGGAGAATTGTAGAAGGACATTTTCAAACAGCACTGATTTTTCTTACACATTTTGAAGAGTCTCAATATCTAGTTAAAATGTATACATTACTTCTTTAAAAACCAATCCATTTCAAAATAGATTCTAAAGTCATTTAAAACTCCTGAATTGTGCCCAATTCCTGATTTACTTGAATTACAGAATGGTGTTAATAGACTATTATTTTTAAAAAGACATTCTATGCTATTATAATGTGTTATTAGTAAAAAAAAAAAAAAAAAAACCTAGATAGCTTCCCAACATTTCATTTTTTTTTAATGTTTATTTTTGAGAGAGAGTGTGCGAAACACAGAAGGTGCAGGGGTGGGGGGCAGGTGGCAGAGGATCCAAAGTGGGCTCTGCACTGACAGCACAGAGCACAATGTGGGGCTCGAACTCATGAACCTTGAGATCATGACCTGAGGGGAAGTCGGATGCTCAACTGATGGAGACACTCAAGTGTCCCCCAACATTTCATTTTTTAAAAATAGAAAGCACATATCAAAGATCTTGCCAAACGAAAGAGGATCCAAATTCTTCACCTTCATTTGTTGTCTGCCTTCTTAACGCTTTTTTTCTCTGCTTTATTTTCTTTGATTCTAGTCTATACTTGTACATTTGTTAATTTGGGCCACAGTAGGGAGGGGATGCAGGCTAAGCATCAAAAATGATCAGGAATGGCAAGCAGACCAGGTAGATCTATGCCAGATTATCACCCACTTTTCCTTTTAAGCAAAGCTTTACCAAGAAAGTCATAAACCAGGAGGTTCCTGACTGGACGGGGAGGAAAAATTCTATCAAATATGGCTTGGAATGTTACTTGTGCTTTTCTATTACATTGTTTAAATGGGAGAATCGAGGTTTTCATTTCAGAGACAAGGGGGAGGAATGGGCTTCTGGATGCTTTCAACTGCTTTTCCTAACAGGTAGTTTTGTTTTTCTGTATTTGCCAGAGGTGCCATTCATTGTTTTGAACAGGAAGTGTGTGAAAGTTGGCAACAGCTGTATAACCACTGCTTACCTAGGGCATGTACTGGCTTTCCCTGGAAGGATTTTAGCTGTCTCCACTTTCTCAGAAGTGAGGGTGGGGAGGGCAGAGGTTCAAGAGAGCTTCAAGAGCCCCTGACGACGTTCACAGTGTCAGGACATTCCTGTTTCCTTCTTATAACAGTTGATGTTGATGAAAATCTGGGATGGGAGGACCTGGTGTTTCCCAAAGTAACTGTTTTACCAGCGAGGGCTTGCCTTTGGAGAGATGCTCTCTCTCTCCATCTTCAGCAGGTCCTTCCAGCCGGTCCCTCCAGCCGGTCCCTCCAGAAGTACCCCGTTCCTGACTCCTGTACTTGAAAGGTTCTATACTGCAGAGCACAAGCTGCTTATTCACCATGCTCCTCACCATCCTGTAGAATGACTAAAGGAATGTTCCTCTTCTAGTGTGTGGACATTTCCCCCACAGCACACGGGAAAGAAGCGGAATTAAAATCAAGGAGAGGGGGATAAGGCAGTTCACTTAAGTTCAATTTTCCTTTCTACCATCTTCGGTGAGTTCTTTAGAGTGGCTGCTGCTTAGAGTCCTGTTGTGTACCCCCTCACACACAGCCGCCAATTATCTTTTAATTTACTGTGAATTAACATTCTAGTAAGCAAAAAGAGCAAAGCTGTCCTTTGAAAGACTGGTAAATAAAGCCCGGATGCGTTCCGGCCTCTCAGTTCTGCCCACTTTCTGCGTGAGTTCCGGGGAGGGTCTCGGATTGAGAATGCGGCCCGCTACTTGTTGGAAAGTGGCTCTGTCTCCGCCCCTGGATCCCTCTGGAGCTGCCTCCGAGTCCGCCTATTGCGGCTGCAGGTCCAGGGGCCCGAGGCTTCCTGCAGAGCGCTGCTGGTCGCTTTCTGGCGTCGGGGCAGGAGGCTGCTACGCGCACCCCGGGAAGCCCTGCCCAGGAGGCTGGGGTGGGGGTGGGGGGTGGGGTGCCGGGGCTGGCAGGCGCTTGACCCTTGCCTTTAGTGAGTGTACCTGCTGCTTGCCTGTCCGGCGAGTTTCAACTCCATTTTCTCTTCTGCTGAGGATAGGGCATCCTGAATTCGCCCCTCCCTCTGCAACCCATCTAGAGATAATAGAAACCTTCACTAATGCCCACCTGGAAATAACCGTCCATTGTTCATATTGATGTATTTCCCTCTCATGAGTATTGTTTTGCTAACTGGAAGCATACAGAGTACACAATTTGAAATCCTTTGTTACCTGTGCATCATAAGCATTTCTCTATGCTATTAAATTTGCAAAGTGTCATTATTATGGCTGCTATCATGAATATGCTATCAACATTGTATAATAATTTACTTAATTATTATGTTTAGAATTGTTATTGTTTTTAGGTTTTCCACAAATATGTGATTAAAGAATTACATACGAATTACAAAACAGACAAGACGTTGATTAACGTGTAGAAATGTCTGCCCAATTTTGGTTTTGCCCCATACAGTAAATTGGTTAAAATGGTTATAATTTATTCTGCAGTACTGATTCTTAATTTTTAAGAAAAAAATGGAAGCAAAAAATATATGTAGGTGATTTAAAATTTGAAT